ATTTTTTTTGAATTTTTATTTATTTTTTATTCTTTTCTTTTCTTTTTTTTTTTCATCTTCAACCCGGCGACCGGCCAGAGCCGGAAGCCTGCAAGGGCCGCCCTCGCCGGCGTCGGGCGAGGGCGGCCCTCACCGGCGTTAGGGCGAGGGCGGCCCTTGCCAGATCCGACGAGGGCGACCCTCGCACGATACCTGCGAGGGTAGCCCTCGCCGAATCCGGCGAGGGCCGCCCTCGCCGGCCTCAGCGAGGGCGACCCTCGCCCGACTCAGCGAGAGCGGCCCTCGCCCAACGCAGGCGAGGGTCGCCCTTGCTAGATCCGGCGAGGGCGACCCTCGCCGGTATAGGGCGAGGGCTGCCCTCGCCGACGTCGGGCGGCCCTCGCCTGCGTCGAGCGAGGGCCGCCCTCGCTGGCTTCCGCCTCTGGCCGGTCACCGGACCGGCGACCGGCCAGAGGTTGAAGGTGAAGGAAAAAAAATAAATAATAATAATAATAATAATAAAATAATAATATTAAAGATTAGTTCGGGGTAAAATTATCACATGTGTACCAGTTTGGGGTTTTTTGTGGTATGTTTGGAGTAAAATTATCACAGGTATACCAGTTTGGGGTTTTTTATGGTCAAAAAAATAGTTTGGGGTAAATGTGTCACAAGTGTACTAATTTAGGGTTTTTCGTGTTATTAACCCTTGTTTTTAATGGCGGCCATCTACCATAATTTTGTGTTTCGAGTGACTTACTACACTTGTGTAACGTAACCCAGAGTACATTCAATCGGTTCCTATTCCGAGTGCCACAAGCATGTTGCTTTGGCATGAGTCTTTATTAGAAGTTCAGTAGCTTTTGATTCCTCCAAAAAGAATATGGCAGTAGAGGGAATACAGACTTCGTTTTCATAAGAACTTCGAACTTAAAAGTGCTTAAATTAGGAAGATCACTGATCATCATTTTATCTCAAGAGGAGATTCAATAGTCCAATGCTTTGTCTCAGAAAGAATGCAAGTTCTGCTCGTTACTACCTTATACATCAAGAGTGAGAAGGTAGACGATGTCCTGCCCCCCAAAATATTGAGGGAATCAAATCATGCTGGTCTGTTTTCGCTCGGCCTCACTCCATTGTCAAACACAAGTAGAACTCATTTACGCTGTAGCTCACCATCAAGCATCAACCATCTTTTCTGTTTTTCAGAATAGTGAACTTATATTGCCTTATGCAAAACATGTCAGAAAAGCTTCCCTCTTGTTCTTTATCTGGAAAACGGAAAACAGTCTATGAGAGCTCAGAGTTTTCCGAATTTGAAATAGGAAATTTTGTAGACCAATGTTTGATGCTGCCCTCGATCAATCTAAGTGACAATCGACATCCTAAAATCATAGTTTCAGAAAACTTTGTGAATTGAATAGTAATAGGGGGAAAAATGTAGTAACAACTATCCGAATCGAGTTGTAGCGAGGCAGTGAGTTATGTTCCCCCAACCTTCTCTGACAGTTGGGTCAATTCAATCTTAATTCTTGAATGTACTTCATTTCTTAGTAGAAAGGCAACACGCAAGACGCAATGTCAAGAAAGAACCATCTGGTGCCTACAGTCAACTTCTTCATTATGCCAAATAGCATCCTCAAAGATGTGTTCCACTAGTTAAATACTTGCTGATGCATAAAGCTTAGTTCAGTCTGACTTTATTAGGAAGAACTTCATCTCGAAGCATGCATTACACCTGCACATTCACCCTCCTTTGCTTAATGATAATGGACATACTACAGACGATCAGTAACTTATAATTGCTTGCTTAGCTGACTAACTGCAACTCAACCCTAGATTAGATTGAGAATATTCATATCCATATGATTCCCCGGGTAACTCACTTGTAAGTCTTAGATATGTACAGAAGCCTATTCCCAATCTTTAAAGCACGTCTCCCAGAGCATACGTTCGAAAAGGTTGAAAATGTTCACACGTGCATAACAGGCATTAAGGGTCCATTTGTTTGAAAAAAAAAAACTATTTCCCGAAAATAATCAATCTACGAAAAAAGTTTTTCATGGACTTAAAACAACAAGCTAAGATTGGGGGAAAATGACTTCCCCTTACTCGCAAGAAGGAAATCAATTTTCCTCAATCACCCAAAAAATGAAAATAATTTCCATGGAAAATAAGTTCTTTTATCATGAAGTTTTCAATTAAACAATGCACCCTAAAATTGCTTAAATACTTTTCGAGTTTGAATTCGTGAACGAATCCGATTCAAAATTGGGCGGGAGAAAATCTGAGTTGGACATTGTAGTTGACTTGTTGAAACTGGATGAAGCAAAGAGCAAAAAGGGGAACTAAAGGAAATTGACTTTTCTCGTCGATTACAACGTGCTCAAATTGAAGAGTGTTTTAGTAAAGAAATCATGTATGAAGATTTTGGGTACTTCTCTATGAAATTGAAAGATTATTTCGCGAGAAATTACAAGGGATAAACAATGTATGACATTATTATGAGTAATTAGAAGTTGAGAACTAAGAATATTTGAGTGACTTGAGCGTGATGGTAAGTCCCGTTAATGCATGTTTGTTTACTCCTATGCCAAGGTAAAAAGTACTTTCTGCTTTTCGGTCAAAATTCAAAATTGTAATCAAATTTCAGAAAATTACGAAAAAAAAATTGTTTGCGGATGTATATGTCAACATTTGAGTATCGTGAGAGTCTTAGGGCTTTTAGATTGAAAAAAAAATATTAAAATGACTGAATCGCAAGATTTAGATTAAGCAAAAAGCAAAAGCTGGAATTATAAATGTGAGGAAGGGACAATGACACAAATAGTCCTCGAACTTTGGCTCAATGTGCAATTTGATCCCTGAACTTTTAATTTGTTCAATGTAATCCCTGAACTTTAGCCTAATGTTCAATGTAGTCCCTGAACTTTTAATTTATTCAATGTGGTCCCTGAACTTTTGGTACATGTTCAATTTAGTTCCTGAACTCTATGAAAATACATAATATAGTCCATGAACTTGAATTAATGGAAGGGCTACATTGAACATTTTTATAAAGTTCAGAGACTAAATTAAATATATACCAAAAGTTCAGGGACTACATTGAACAAATTGAAAGTTCAGAGACCATATTGAATATTGGGTTAAAGGTTAGGGACTATATTGAACAAATTAAAAGTTCAGAGGCCGAATTGCACATTGAATTAAAGTTCAGGGACTGTTTGTGTCATTTTCCTTGCGAGGAATGCCAAAGTCTCGGAAAAACCTATGCTCGTGGTCAAAGTATTGGTGCTACAATCTAGAAGTCAAAATGGAGATATCAACTCTCCCATATCTTTTTGTCTAATTAATGCCTGATGATGCATGAATTCCTATAGTCAAAGATCGGTAATTTAGCAAGCAAAACAATTGTGTCCCACATTGAAAAGAAGAAAAGAAACAAAGAAAACAAAGTTTAGCAAGGTGGAGTCAAGTCAACCACTTACTTCTGCATCCATGAGACTCTGCACAAACAAACCAGACAATTGTCAGTAGCTGAAACATCATAGTCAGAAAAGCATTCAAAATCCTGGAATGGGATGAGATGTTTGAAAGCTGGCCTTTGATGAAAGGGATTAAAGAAAATGACAGGAACAGAGCAGCCAAAGGCTGTATATATGCCTCTGTGTTGATCATCATGCTCCAAAACAGCACCAGAAAATCATGGATTCGCCAAAAAGTTTAGAGGGAAGCGGTACATCTTCTAGCTTCCGTCGCCCTCCTCGCAATGCTTTTTAGTCATGTCACAAGGTGCAATTCCTGCAAATGGGTATTATCGTGCGATTGCATCGTTCATTACTTGATTTCATAAAAGTGGTGATTATCACTTAGTGAGCCCGGTTTTGCTTGCCCCTTTTATTACCGTCCCGGATTCCAAGAATAGAGGAGAGGAATGGATTCATGGAGAGGGCGTGGATGGGGATGGCTTTTAGGATTTATTTTGCTATTTTTATTAAGCTTATTAGGCTGGCTCTGAAAGAAATTCGAGCTTGGTACATTCATGATACGTTGGATCTTATGATTATTTTCATTATTGCAAGTTTTTATCCGATTGATACATTTTCGAAAACAGGTTTATTTAATTAAAAGCTTGGTGCTTTATTTTATGAAAGGATGGGGTCGTTCCCCAAATTCTATATACAGATTTGGAGTGTGACAGTGACTATGACTAAGTTTGCGATTGCTCGCTCTTCTTTCTACCAATTATCTTGTAAGAGCTCAACCCATTTACCGTACCAAGCCTTAGCCCATGTAATCCCCTGTCGTTTCTCCTTCATGAGAAGCAGGAGATGTGTGCAAAGCAAGAAAGTGTTTGCATGCAAACACAACGTGGAGGTCCTCTATTCTATATCCATCTTCAATCTCTCCCTGTCAAATGCTTGGAAGGCAATCTCGTCCCAAGTGCTTCTAGAAAGGGAGCATTAGGCCATATACGACATCCAAAGCAGATCCACTTGGTATTAAGAAGATTTATCAAGCAAGGGTCAGAGAATTTCCCAAGAAATCTATTAAACAAATGCCCTCAGTCGAATTATGTCTGCTGCAATCACAAAGTTTGAGCACAAAGATAGTGACTGGCTTCATTTTTCTTCCCTCTTAATAATGGCTGATGCACGCATTACCATTTTTAAAATCGCAGCATTTAACTGTTGGCACCCCCACCCCAAGTAAAACCCGAGATTGTTGCAAGTAAAGAGAACAGAGTTCAGGAAGCTCCGAGTCAAAGTCAAATACGTTGTTCCAAGTTCCAACCATATGAAACTCTATAGACAGTGAGACTATTTCCCGTTTTCACATATTGGCCAGATTGTTGACATCTGAAGCATCCCAATCAGAAGCATTCAACGAGCAGGAAATCGGATGTCTTTGAAAATTGGCCTTCTTTGAATGGACTTAGAGAATGACAGAAACGGAGTAACAAAGCTTTTCATATATGCTTCATGGTCGATTATTAACCTTCAGAACAAACAAAAGAAATCATGGGTTCACCAGAATTAGAGACACCAGTGCATCTTCTAGCCTCCTTTGCCATTTTTACTGTGCTTTTAGCCATCATTCCACAAGGTGCAATTCCTGCTTTTGCCTCCACACTAGAAGCACAAGCCCTTCTCAAATGGAAATCCACCCTTCAAAACCAAAACCAATCCACCTCCTCTCTATCAACATGGACTCTCCCTCCTCAAAATGCTACCGGCTCCAACGCAACGGCGGCGAGCCCATGTGGTTGGTGTGGCATCTCATGTAACCTAGCCAGAAGCATGATGGGAATCAATCTCACCGGTTCGAACATCAGAGGTACGCTTGACGAGTTCCCGTTCTCGTCTTTGCCGTATCTTACCTATATAGACATGTACATAAATGAACTCTTTGGCGGTATTCCGCCTCAAGACGGTCTTTTGACCAATCTCACCTACCTTGACCTCTCCTTTAATCAATTATCCGGGAATATACCACGGGAGATTGGCTATCTCACGAAGCTTGAGGTGCTACACCTGATCTCTAACGAGTTGAATGGCTCTATCCCTGATGAAATAGGTCAGTTGAATTTACTGAACGAGCTCGCCTTGGACTCAAACCAGTTGGATGGATCCCTTCGTCGTCACCGGCGAAGCCAACATAGCTAGGACTACGATTTTAACTCCTCAAACAAAAACTAATTTGCAAGAGGGAAAAACAACAGCGAAACACTTACCAATCACATGCAAAAGGCGTATTCCGACATTAATCAATGTTTTTCGATTTCCCTCTCTTCTTTCTCATGGCTTGTCAAGGCTCTGCTTTCTCCGTTTCTTCTATTTCAGGAATGCAACGGTAAGCGGAACAAGAAGACTCTTGAAGCTTATTTGGGCTGAGGAAGTATACTGGGCTGGGCCTCTCTTATTTATTTAAAATTCTCTTTTCCTTAAGTTCATATCTTATAATAATCTCACTTAACGTTCTTATTTCATTGTATTATTGACAAAACTCATAATTGTCTTGAAATACCAATTTTAGATACTTGACCAAATCTTATGATTCAATTCGATCCCGAGAAATTTCAAGATATCGATCCCCGATATGTGTCTTGATTTAACAACAATCGTGAGGGTACATCCTGACATAAAAAAAGTCAATTAACTAAGGACACGTTAAATGCGAGATTCTATTTTACTGTGCACCAAAAAAAGAACAAAGTTCTGTGATGGTTAATCCCATGAATCACTAGGAAATGTCAACTATAGTTGGTTGTGGTCTTAGTATCAAATCTTGTGATTTAGGAATAATAAATTCGAGTGTCCATATATAACATGTAATTTTAATTCACTATCATCTCGAATATTCTAAGTTACGATAGAATCATAGATTATATTTGACCATATTTAAAGCTTATCTTTCTTCCAAGCTAAAGATATCTTATTCCAGAGATGTCATTGTATGGTATCAGAGTGCGACCCCCTCCAGTAGATGTGCAGTTTTGGGACGAACCAGGAGGAAGTTGGTGGGTCTGTAACAACCCGGTCCGATGAGGGCGAGAAGTGGTTGCTGGGCTAGAGAACCTGGACATGGAGCGGCTCATGGTAGGTTTTTAGGATGGCGAAGGGGGCAAGAATGAAACGAACTGTGTACCGAACATGGGGAGAACGATTCTGAGATATATAAGTGAAAAACTAAAATTAACTCACGAAGCCGCCTTTTGACCTAAATGCGAGTTTTGGAACTCCAAAGTTAAGTGAGCCCATACTAGAGCGCTACCAGAATGAGTGACCTCCTAGAAAGTGCTTGCCTATACGCTAAAGGACAAAATCGTGAAGCTCGGTATGGGACGGACCAAAACGGACGATATCTCAAGTGAATTAATTCAGGGATATCACTGATGGTGTGTGTCAGCTTAATCTATGCATATTGCATATGAACAATGAGATGTTTAACTGTACTGGTGCGATCCTGCACTCTTGGTTTGCCATTTTTTGGTCATAATCCAGTAGCCACCTCCAAAGTTGATATGCTAAGAGTGCCATATAGTTTTTTTATATTCTCACAGCGGTAGGTGTTCCACTTTGGCATCCTTCTACTTTTGACAAATTTTTTCGGGTCTTGAAGAAGCTGCTTGAAAATGGGTTCGATCCGTTGACCTTGCATTTGGCTGATGCATTAGTTGCAGGATTCTAACCTGCGACGGTAATGAAAATCACGGCATTAGTGACGTTGTAAAAAGATATAGCGCTATTCGTATTATGAATTGTTCGGACTCCACGACCGTGCGCTACTTCCTTTTCTCTCGATTCTTTACGAGGGTCTCCTCGTATCTGAAAGTGAAGGATTTACCTAGAAATATGATAGCTCGTAGCGTAGCATGACATTTGTGGTGGTTTTCTGAAGATTCAAGGTGATATGGAGTACAGGATGGTACCAAACGAGCCCCGTGAAAACCTGATTGAATGCCTCTGCTTGTGGTTCTGGTGCCCCAAATTGTTGCGGCAGGAATTGGATGAGGAAAGCAGCCTGGCGTTGGTTGGGGCCCGCCTTGGCATCATATGTCGTGATCTCGGAGCAATAAATGCGAGTGTCCGAATACTAACATATAATTTCAATTTACTATCGTTTAGAATATTCTAAGTTGCGACAGAATGATAGTTGTTTTTTACCATACTGAAAGCTTGCATTTCTTCCAAGTTAGAGATACCTTACGAAGCCTTAGTTTTATTCCAACTGGCCATTTAAGAATAGGTAGATGGGATTAGCTCATCAGCAGCTAGAGCCCATATACATTTATGTTCTGTTTGGATTTGAGGTACCTTAGGAAATTATGGTCATTTAGGAAGGTGAGAAGCGATTAAAAAAAAAGGGAACAGGGTCCAAAGTGGATATAGTATCAAATAAGGGCCTGAAGCGCCCAATCAGTCTCAAATAGGGGCTCGAAGTGCCCAATTAGTCTCAAGTAAGGGCTTGAGTTCGTTGGCCGGTCAAATGCTCACCGGCCGGCGAGCACGTCACTATTCCGGCGATCGGAACAAGGACAATTTTGTCTTTTACTCTCTTTTTTTCTCTTTTCCTTTTCCTTTTCTTATTCTTCTTTTTTTCCTCTTTTCCCTCCGCCGGCCATAGCCGGGGTTGGTGGAGGTCTCTGGCCTCAGACGGAGGCCGCCCTCACTGGCGTCGGGCGAGGGCAGCCCTCGCCTGACGCCGGCGAGGGTAACCCAGGGTCGGCCCTCGCCGGCATCGGGCGAGGGCGACCCTCACCCGACGCCGGCGAGGGCAACCCTCGCCCGACCCTCGCCGGCGTCGAGCGCCCTCCACCTGAGGTCAGCAACCTCCACCGGCCCGGCTATGACTGGCGGAGGGAAAATAGGAAAAAAAGAAGAAGAAGAAAAGGAAAAGGAAAAGAGAGAAAAAAAAAAGAAGTAAAAGACGAAATTGCCCTTGTTCCGATCGCCGGAATAGTGACGTGCTCGCCGGCCGGTGAGCATTTGACTGGTCGGCAAACCTAGGCCCTTACTTGAGACTAATTGGGCACTTCGGGCCCTTATTTGACATTATGTCTACTTTGGACCCGTTTTTGAGAAAATAACCCCACTTTGGGTATTGATTTGAAATTTTCCTTAAAAAAAATGAAGTGCCTTTGTCTTTATCTAAATCAAGAGTAGATCTTGAGAAATTTGGCCTACGCCATATGACATTTATTGGGGAAAATTACCAAAAAAAAGTCTTAAAGATATTGCAATTGTGCCAATTCAATCTTAAACCTTTTACATTTGTACTAATTCAGTCCATCCAGCTAACACCAGTCATCGCTAATGTATACAATTTTTAATAATATTTAATTTTTTTCTAATTCTTTTCTTTTTCTTTTATTTGTTTCCCCACAATGGCGGGAGAGGGCTTGCGGCCCTCGTCCGGATCTGGGTGAGGCATGGGGGTCGCGGGCAAGGCGGCCTAGCCCAGATCTAGGTGAGGCTAACCTCGCCATCGCCTCGTCTCGTCGGACACGGGTGAAGGCAACCATGGCCTTGCTAGCCATAGGCAAGGCCGCCTTCACCTACGGCTGGCAAGGCCATAGCAAAGCTAGCCATGCTGGGATCTGGGCGAGGCCAGGAGAGGGCCTCACAGGCGGCCAACAAGGGATTCACAGCGAGCCTCGCCAGCCACTATGGGAAAAAGAAAAAGGAAAGAAGGAAGAAAAGAAAAAAAAGAAAAAAATATTTATAAAATATTTATGATTGAATTAGCATAATTACAATAGATTTAAGACTTTTATGATAACTTCCTTATTTATTGTAATATAATAATTGATTATGGTTCCCTCTACCCTTTGAGGAGCGATTTGAGTCCGACTCGAATGATCCATTTAACTCGTATTGGCCCATATTTTTGTAACATAATTTTGGCAACCCATACCAAATCTCATCCAGACCCCAAGTCATACCTAATTCAACCCACGCACCAAGTTATAGCAATTTACCCTTTTAAATTTGAAAAATAGCATACTAAAAAAAACTGACGTTGATCACTCTTTTTGCGGTCCTTAGATTCTTCAATCGAATCCGACCAAAAAAAAAGATTCCTCAATCGAAGCAATGCAATGCTACCTACTATTTACTTTATTACAAAAATGATAAACGCAATAAAGTAAAGTAAAAAAAGATCGCAAAGCTTATAAATGAAGGAAAATAAGTTCTTACCATATAGATTTCAATGGTGGTCATTAAACTTTGATATAATCAAAAGTTTACACTTCCAATATGTAATCCAACAACATCGTTATTCCGTGTAACGTGCGGGAATGTCTCTATTGGAATTATGGAGAGCACTTCAAAATTCCCACATATAATCATGGCGCACTATTTCTCAATAATTGAGCCCACTTAGAAAGCTCAACAAAGACTCGATTATCTGAAGTAAATCATGATCGCAAGTGTAATTAATCACAGGATTAAAGAGCGGACCTCCACAATTACGTTATCGTCTGTCAATGGCTCAAACAAGCGGGCCCAAAATAATCTTATGTTCCATTTCTGGTTTTCCTTTTCGATTGACCATCATCTTACTAGACATTCTTATTTTAAGACACATGACAACCCACTGTTTAGATTTTAGCTAACCCAAATCGGCAATTAACGAGCGGGTCTTTAATCCATTTTGACGCCTCTCCCTTTATTTGAACGAGACCATCAATTTTATCAGGTCCGTGGATTTTTTTTTTTAACCGTGCTCCCGGAGCCATTTGGCTAGATCATCCGCTGTCGTTTCTGCATAGAATGTTGGATATTTTAATAGTTTTGAAATATTGCAACTATTATTTTTGTAACGCTTTTTCACCGTCATCAATTTGTAACCGTTGTCTTCCGCCATTAATATGTAACGTTTTATAACGGTTTAGTAACGGTGTATGACAGCTTTCTAATAACTTTCTAACATTTGATATATTTCTCTATAAACTCTTCATTATTTTAAATTAGGGATATGTGCACTAGAAGTCCTAAAACTTGTCACAAAAGTGCAATTGAGTCCTAAAACTTTCAAAAAGTGCAAACAAGTCCTAAAACTTATCACGAAAGTGTACTTGAGTCCTAAAACTTTCAAAAAGTGCAAATAAGTCTTAAAACTTGTCACGAAAGTGCAAACAAGTCCTAAAACTTGTCACGAAAGTGCAAACAAATCCTAAAACTTTCAAAAAGTACAATCAATGGAAGGACTTGATTGAATCAATTTGACAAGTTTTAGGACTTGTTTGCACTTTCGTGACAAGTTTTATGACTTGGTTGCACTTTTTTAAAGTTTTAGGACTTAAGTGCACTTTCGTGACAAGTTTTAGGACTTGTTTGTACTTTTTGAAAGTTTTAGAACTCAATTGCACTTTCGTGACAAGTTTTAGGACTTTGAATGCACTTATCCCTTTAAATTATAACGGCCATATAACGGCCATATTCTCCTTCAATAATTACCAATTTAATTATAACAGTTTCGTTCTCTTTTTTATTTGAATATAAAATTAAAACTTCAAACCACAATCAAAAGTGAGAGACATGAAATAAAAGAGAATTTCTTTTTCTTCTCATATCTTTCCTTTCCTTGCTAGGCCTTCTATTATTCTATGCAGAATAAAGAAGAAGGTCCGTTGTATTTTGGAAGGATAGCCACTAAAGCTTATCGCACCGAGTTTCGTACTCTGAGGAGCAGAATTATCCTTAAGTCAAGTACTTGCACGTCTCAGACAATTGATTTTATTTTCTCATCTTTTTCAATAGATTTCCAACGATCCTTATTCTACATTATCTAATATTTTTCCAACGTAGAATGGGGTTAACCGTGTCAAGAATTGGCTTCATGAATGCCGAGTGAGAAGGCTGTCCTTTTGCGCGCTTAGAATTGCATACTGTGCGGCACAAACTAGGATTCAATCCTGTGGAAATTGGGACTTCACATCACTCTCCTCAAAGACTTCTCTGTCGAACACCCTGGATTTCAAATAGTAAGTGGGACTCATTTCCGAAATAGGGACTGACCGAGTCAGGCAAGTCACCAAGGAAGACTATAAAAGGAAAAAATTTCCTAAGTCTTCAAGGAACCAACAATTCGTCCAGTCAGCTTTCAGGAAGGTGAGTTTTCACAACCTTTTTAAGCATCGCTCATTGCCTCGGGAAAAGAAAAACCAACTTACCAGAACCAAAAGAGAAGAAGAAGAAGAAGAATCCATGGATTCTTCGTCAGGATTCAAGAGGGTCATGACCCTTGTGGCTGCCCTTGCCCTTTTCACTATCTCTGTCACTCCACTTCCGGCTCCTGCTTCCCCTGCCAAAGCTCAAGCCCTCCTCAAGTGGAAATCCAGTCTTGGCAACCGTTTGGTTTCTTCCCTCTCTTCGTAGACTCCCTCTCCTCGTAAGGCCACCAGTTCCAATTTGACTGTGAGTTCATGTGCTTGGTATGGCATCTCCTGCAATCAGGCCAGGAGTGTGATTTGGATAAATCTTACCAGTGCCGATGTGGAAGGTACGCTTGACGAATTCCCATTCTCATCTTTGTCTCATCTCATGTACATAGACCTGAGTGTGAATAGTCTCTCATGCCACATTCCACCTCAAATCGATTTTCTGAGCAATCTCACATATCTCGACCTCTCTATCAATCGGTTCTCGGGGATAATACCCCCAGAGATCGTCCATCTAACGAAACTGGAGGTCCTACACATGTATTTCAACGAGTTAAATGGCTCCATTCCCCTAGAAATTGGGCAATTGCATTTGCTCAATGAGGTCACGCTGTATTTGAATCAGTTGCATGGATCTATCCCTTCCTCATTGGGTAATTTGAGCAAATTAGCTAGACTGTATGTCTACAACAACTCTCTTTCTGGTTCTATACCTCCCGAGATGGGAAATATGACAAATTTGGAAGTGCTCCACATGGACGCTAACTTCTTGACAGGACCAATTCCTTCCACTGTGGGGAACTTGACCAAATTGAGAGAGTTGCACCTTTTTGCTAATAAGCTTAACGATTCCATCACCCTAGAGCTAGGGAATTTGAAGCTTCTTAGCTCGTTGAGCCTTTACAATAATAATTTTATTGGTTCAATCCCGCCGACATTAGGCAATTTGACGGAGCTTACCCTTCTTTTACTTTATGATAACCAGCTTTCGGGTCACATTCCTGATGAGATGGGACATCTCCGCGCTATGCAGGACTTAAAGCTGAGTGGAAATCAGCTCACCGGCCCAATTCCTTCTTCTTTGGGTAACTTGACCGACCTAGTTCTTTTGCGCCTCCATCTCAATCACCTTTCTGGTTTGATTCCTAGATCCTTAGGGGATCTAATGAACTAGGAGGTGCTGTTATTGAGTTACAACCAACTTTCTGGTAGCATTCCTAATAAGTTAGGAAATATTCAGGCTATGATCCTGTTACATCTGAGTGCAAATTAGCTCACTGGTCCAATTCCTTTTTCTTTCAATAATTTGACAAACCTAGTCTATTTACGCCTCAATGAGAATCAACTTTCGGGAAAGATCTCTGTATCAATTTGCAATGCCACCAGCCTTTCACTCCACATCTTGTCTAATAATAGCTTAACTGGTAGCCTACCCCAGTGCTTATCATACTTGAGCATTTGTCTATCAGTTTTGAACTTGCGAATGAATAGTCTTTCGGGCACGAACCCTCCAACATTTTCACCACAAAGTAGCTTGAGAAATCTTGACTTGAGTCAAAATCAATTCCAAGGCACATTGCCACATTCCCTAGTCAATTGTAAAAACCTGGAAGTCCTAGATTTGAGCTATAATAAGATGGGGGATAAGTTCCCAGAATGGCTGGGAAGCCTACCAGAGTTAAAGGTTCTTAATAGGAGGTCCAACAATTTTAAGGGTCTTTTAGATTTTCCAAGGGTAGCTCATCTCTTTTTGAAGTTGCACATTTTGGATCTCTCAACAACAACTTCGCTGGTCCTTTACCAGCCAATCTGATAGTGAAACTTCAAGGGATAATGAATGGACAAAATGGGCAAAAGCCGCAAGACAAATCATTGTACATGAGGCAGCAAGCTGGAAAGGAATTATATGAAGCTTCTGTGAATGTGATCATGAAAGGAAAGGAGATTCGGCTAGAGAGGATCTTGACCATTTTCACAACCATCGACTTATTGCTCAACTCTTTTCAAGGGAACATCCCGAGTGTTATTGGAAATCTTCATTCTCTCATAGGGCTCAACCTTTCCCACAACCACCTCACGGGTTCCATTCCTTCAACCCTTGGAAATTTGACTAACCTTGAAAGACTGGATTTATCTTCAAACAAGCTTAGTGGGAGTGTCCCTAGAAAACTGGGAGATTTGTCATTCCTTGGGTATTTGGACCTCTCAGATAACCAACTCACAGGCCCCATACCTCAAGACAAGCAACTGAGCACATTCACAAGCAACTCATTTCATGGAAACCTCGGCTTATGTGGAACTCCATTACGAAATACATGCCCTGGTGATGCTCAGCCTCCATTGCCACCACCTTCATTCTTCCAAGAGGATAGTACAAGAGAGCATGGTAGCGGGTTTGATAGGAAAGTAGTCGGGATAGGCTATGCATCCGGAATCGTGAATGGAATCTCCATAGCGTACATTTCATGTGAAATTGGAAGACCCAATTGGCTTGTGGGAAAAGTGAGAAGCATGGAGAGAAGAGCCAAATTGATGAAGAAGCCAAAGCAGAAGGCCATCAAATTTCATGGAGGCCAATGAAATTGTTGGGAAGTGGTCCCTTTGAACTATGTGCAATGTAGATCAAGGAATACAATTTTTGTCAGATTGCAATGCAATTTCGCATATGGATGCTCGTTTTTATCATGTTGTCATTTTCTTCTTAAAGTGCAATTTCTGCATCGAGTTGAATGAATAGATGAACATGAAAGAGATTTTCCAAAAAACGCGTTTTACATCATTAACACCCTATTTGTCCTTTTCTTGTTTAGTGTACTCCATTCTTATTTCTTCTTGGGAAAGAAAAAAAGATGAAGAGCTGTCGAAGCCCATTTTGCGCGGGATTACATGATTGAATGTGTCATTGAAATATGGCTTTAATGATTTCTAAATTTGTCATTGTCCCACTACACATTTCTTTTGAAGTTGCAACTCGGTATTAGATCGTTGACTTGCAGTCTTGCACCTGTCATACTTGTCTGCAATAGTAAACAGGGGTACTCAGGTTCAAAAGTCAAAGCATCCTCGAAGTTTAGATTCAAAGTAATCTTATTGCAAAATTCTAGGATCCCCTAGGCCAAAAAACTGAAATTTTTTCATGTTCGTGGTTTTTTTGAAGTTGCTGGTAATTTTTAAATACTTTTTGCAAAAAATATAACCGGTAACTTGCTTATAAGTTAACTTATCAATAAGTTACCAACATGATAATGAATTTATCAAGTTTCATAGATAATTAGTAAGTAACATTGTCTAAATTTTACAGTTACTATCACAAAAAATATCAAAATTGGTATGCCCTTGCCACATTTAACCAAACTAATTTTTGTGGCACAAAAAATATCAAATTGTTACGTTCGTGCCACATTTACCTCAAATTAATTTTTATATCATAAAAAAATGTCAAACTAGTATGCTCATGTCACATTTACCATAAACTAATTTTCGATTCATAAAAAAATATGACTTTTAGCAGATTTTCAAAACTTGAGGGAGCTCTCAAGGAAAATTTAGTAGATTTTAGCAAATTTCCCAATAATTTTTTTAGTGATTTGGGAAATTTTTGTGATACAAATTAGTTTTGTGTTACTAGTATACCAGTTTAGCATTTTTTGTAACACAAAAATTAATGGGATATGTTCACTAGAAGTCCTAAAACTTATCTCGAAAGTGCAATTGAATCCTAAAAATTACAAAAAGTGCAATTGAGTCCTAAAACTTGTTAAATTGATTTAATCAAGTCCTAAAGTTAACATCGTCAATTTGTCTAACGAAAAATGCCGACGTGGCATTTTAAAATGAATTTATCTCTCCTACATGGCATATATATATTTTATTCAAATCTAATTTAAATTAAATTAAAAAAACTAAAAATTAAAAAAAAACAAAACAAAACTAGAAAAAAGAAGAATAGAGAAGCAGCTTCGCTGGAGGAGGGCCAGCGGAGGTCGCCAGAGGGACCGGCTAAGGTCGTCGGCCCTGGTCGAGGGTGGCCGACCCTCACTTGGCCCTGCCAGCCTTGGGAAACGGCCAGCCACCCTCGTTAGGCCAAGGCGAGGGCACCCAGATCTGGGCGACACCGGCCCTCCCCTGGAGCCGGCGATCATCGCCTGCACAGATTTGGGTGACGCATGGCCTTTGCCTGAAGCCAGCGAGCCTTGCTAGACCCAGGCAAGGGCCGATGAGCCTTGCCAGCCCCGAGCGAGGGCCGGCGTCTCCTAGATCTGGGCACCATCGCCTAGGGCCGGCGAGGCCTCACTCGGGGCTAGCAAGGGTCGGCCACCCTCGCCTGGGGCCGGTGACCTTAACCGGCCCACCTCCGGCGGTGGGCGGCGGCTACAACTCCCAACTTAGCCCTAGTTTTTTTTTCAGTTTTGTTTTTCAAAGTAATTTTTAGATTTTTTTAGTTTTTTAATTCAATTTATATAAAGATTTTAATAAAATAATAATAATAAATTCCACATAGGAGAGAGAAATTCATTTTAAAATGCCACGTCACCATTTTCCGTTAGACAAATTGAAAGTGTTAACTTTATGACTTGATTGAACCAATTTGACAAGTTTTATGACTCGATTGCACTTTTTATAAGTTTTAGGACTCAATTGTACTTTCGCGATAAATTTTAGGATTTCTAGTAAATATATCCCAAAATTAATTTAAGGTAAATGTGGGTATATCAATTTGAAACTTTTTGTGACACGAAAATTAGTTTAGGGTAAATATAACATGAGTGTACCAGTCGCAACTCTCCCAGCAGGGTGAAGACGAGTAGATGGGTTTAGAGGTAATGTTGACTTGAAAACCAGCAGTCCTCAATTGGCTTGTCGACATTGGAAAATTAAAGTTAAAATAGATTTATTTATGAAGTCCAACCTAACTAAAAGTCGCTCCTAGCTAGCCACTGGCCTTGTGGCTAGCTAAGAGTCAAGTGAAGTATGCGAGGTACCTAACTTTTACGCAACCACATATTTGAGATAGGACATAATTGCACTAATTCTCTAACTAGTGCCCTTTTTCTGAAGAAAAAAAATTGACATCGATTACTCTTTTTTGTGATCGTTAGATTCTTTAATCAAAGCAATGCAATGCTACCTACTATTTAATTTATCACCAAAAATGATAAATGCAATAAACTAAAGTTAAACAAACGCAAAGCTTATAAATAAAGGAAATGTATATGTTTACTAGAAATCCTAAAACTTGTCACGAAAGTGCAATTGAGTCATAAAACTTACAAAGTGTGCAATTACGTTCTAAAACTTGTTAAATTGGTTCAATCGTGTCTTAAAGTTAATACCGTCCAATTTGACTAACGAAAAATGCTGACATGAATTTTTTATTATTTTTCTATCCTACATAGCAATGATGGGACTTTTTTATAATTAGTTTAATACTAATTTTATTTAAATTAAATTTAAAAAATAAGTTAAAATTGCGTTGGCAGCGGCGGCAGCGAGGGCTTGCAGCCCTTCTCGCCTATCCTCCTCCTTTTTTTTAAAGCTTATTTTTATAATATTGAAAATCAAATTTGAACCAAAATGATATCGTTTTAGTCTTACGTTTCATTCTTTGGCGACGCCATCGCCACGTAAGAGAGAGAAAATATTAAACTAAGCCACGTCAACGCCACGTCAGCATTTTTCGTTAATAAGTTTGACAGTGTTAACTTTAGGACTCGATCGAACCGATTTAATAAATTTTGGGACTTGATTGCACTTTTTACAAGTTTTATGACTCAATTGTACTTTGGTGACAAGTTTTAAGACTTAAGGAAAATAAGTTCTTTCTAGCAAAAAAAAGGAAAATAAGTTCTTATTATGTGTAGATTTCAATGGTGGTCATTAAACTTTGACATAATCGAAAGTTTACACTTCGTAATCCAACAACAATATCATTATCCTGGAATAACGTACGGGACAATCTCTATTGGAACCACCGAGAGCACTTCAAAATTCCCACAAATAATCACGGCACACTCTTTTTAAATGGTAAGTTAGAACAGAATTAAAGAGCAGACCTCCACAATCACGTTATAATCTGTCAAAACGGCTCAAACAAGCGGGCTCAGCTCATTTTTTTAGAGTTTAGCTAACCCAACTCGGCCAATTAAAGAGTAGATCGTTAATCCATTTCGACACCTCTCCCTTTGCTCGAACGTGATCATCAGCTGTCGTTTCTGCAAGAACGGGTCAACCACGTCAAGATTTGGCTTTCCCGAATGCCGAGTGAGACGACTTCCCTTTTGCGCTTTGAATTGCAAAATGTGTGGCACGGATTAGGATTTGATCGTGTGGAAAGTTAAGAGTGTTCGCACACAACAAGAAAGACCTCAACTTTACGTCACTTTCCTCAAAGACTTCCCTGTCAAAGTCTCCGGATTTCATTTGGGGGGTGGGCCTCAATTCCGAAAGGGGGACTGACCGAGTCAGAACGTACCTTTTCATAGTCTTCACTTGTTAGTTGTCGTTGTTGCATTCCCATTATCATGGAAAATGATGGGAAGGCGAGAGTTTTCACAACCTTTTTAAACATCGCTCGTTGCCCCGGGAAAAGAAAAACAGAAAACCAACCACATAGTAACATGCCATCAACAGCAATCAGAATGATCATCAAATGACCTTGAGATTAATTCAAATCACATTCCATGATGAATGACCAGCAAGTATTCATCGAACACAGTCCACAATTTAATTATAGAAACGAAACCTAAACATGCTAAAAGTGATTGGAAACCATGGACACATTTAGGGCTTAATTATGAGCAAGCCGAATGACAACCGACCGGAGCTAAGTCTAGAACCAGCAGACTAGACTCATATTCGTCAAACCAGGCTAAGCCCAAATCCATTAACTAATTAAACTCAATATTCATTAATGTTTCGTTTGTTTCGCGAAAAATAAGTAATTTAGAAAATATTTTCTTAAAAAATAATCACTTGGAATAATTAGTTAATTTAAAATATTTCCATTGTTGACAACGATTTATTAGCGATACAAGCACATCAACATCTAGAGCTTATCACACCAGAACACCAAAATATTGAAGGTATATACTTAATAATCAATCTCCTATATTCACCACAAGACCCATGCCATCGGCTATTACCTTCGACCATAGCCATTCGTCGGACGTTACCCCCTTTACTACGACTTACCAAAGAGGACGGAAACTGAGGATATGAAGTAAGACCACCATGTGGAGATAAACTCGAATGTTTTACGAACAATGGGTAAGTGTGACATCAACTCTAGCGAAGCTCTCACCAGTAACCATCATTTGCAGGCATTGGAACATAAAACACAAAAACAATGAACCCACGACCGTGTGCTATTTTTTTGGGTCTTGACCATGCTGCTTGAAGATGGGTTCGATCCGTTGACCTTACATTCAACTGATGCATTAGATGCGGGATTCTAACATGCGACGGTGATGACAAGTTGCTTGAAAATGCGACCGTGCACTATTTTTTTGGGTCTTGACGAAGCTGCTTGAAAATGGGTTCGATCCGTTCGCCTTACATGCAGCTGATGCCTTAGTTGCCGGATTCTAACATGCGACGGTGATGAAAAGTCACGGCACTAGTGATTTTGTAAAAAGATATAGCACTAATGGTCTTATGAAT